AAGGGGAAGGCATGGCTGCTAGAACTCAGAAGGACAGAGTGGTATGGAGAGGGCCACCTTGACAGGAGTGGTGATCTTGAGTGGAGAGACACAGTCAGGTGGGGGCTGGCCTGGGCGGGAGCCAGGAGAAGAAAATCCTCTTACCTTAGTCCCTCTCTCTCCTCCCAGGGCTTCCCAGTGGCCAAAAGGAAGGCAGCCTACAGAGAAGTGTACTTATATTAGCCTCCCGGGCAAGAGCAGGGTAGAGGAGGGCTGAGAGGGACTTGGAGGGGTGCCTGGAACATGCTCTGCCCACTGCAGCTTCTTGCTTCCTAGCCGTTAGCCTGGTCCTACTTGATCTGCCGTCTGAATTCTCCAGGATTGCTTTCTCAGGCCAAGAGCAGAGATCTGGAGGCTGCCATGCTGTGGAGCCTGAACTTCCTTAGTATTCCCAGTTGAAAGGGCTGCCTGGCACTGCCTACTGAGCCAGGCCCAAATGCAGCTCCAGGCCACCTCCCCTGTGAGAGTGATGGGGTCTAAGAAGTACAGGGACAGATGCAACCCAGGGACTTCCTGCTGGGTGTTTGTAGTAGCCCTCAGTGGCAGTTCTCATCCCTAAGACCAGAACATTCTCAATCTGTCCCTCAGGGATAGAGTAGGGGACATGTTTTTGTTGAAGACTTGCTACATACAGCTTCTATGAATGTTAGCAGCAGCCCCAAACAGCATGATCTGTGTGCACTGGGCTCAGGTTGTATAAATGCCAAATCTCGAAGCTTTTTCTAGGTCTTGAGCTGTTTTAATTAGTGGGATCGTTCAGGGAAGGTGCACATTTTACTTTCTTATTAGCTCAAAGATACCAGGTTTCTGCTGGTTGGTTGCAGCTATTATTGTTGGCATCCACTTTCCTTAGTTTGGGACAGGTAGAAATTTTGTGTATCCTTCAGATACAAGAAAAAAAATTTTCTAAACCAGATTATTTTTGACTTTTACCTGCCTGATTCTTGGGAAATGTAATCCTGGTCCTGTTTGTTCTTAAGGTCAGACTAGAGTCTTGGGGGATCTTGTTGGGGGCAGATCTTTCACTGGTGGTGTGCCATAATGGCTGTGTCCCTGCCACCACCCCCCACTGTTCCCCCGCCATGCCTCAGACTGCCACAGAGGTTTCTCTCTCAGCACCCCATGACTGCAGACTGCCCAGCCTTCACGGGGCCCTTAGCCCTCCCACATGCGAACACCGGCCCCCTCCAGGAAACCTGCCCCTCCTCCAAGCCCTCTTCATCTGGAACCCCTGCCCAAGCCCCACCTGCTCAGAGACTGCAAGATTTTTACCACCTCGGTGTAAAAGGAGCCCTGGATGTTTTAGAAGCAAAGATGTAGGTGAAATTCTCCTCAGGGGCCAAATACTCAGAACTGCCTGGGTGGAGAGAAAATGACTGTGCTTCTTAACCAGGCTCCCACAGCTGCGAGAACAAAACTCTAGTCAGTGGGAGTCAATAGAGTATCCTGCCACGGTGAGAATAGTGAGTTTCCAGAGTCAGCTGCCTCCCAAATAAAGTATCACAGTCTAGGGCTGTATACGATTCTACAGCTGAGGATAGAGATGGGGAAGAATTTGTGGGTCAATTGGAACTCGCCCTAGACCCTCAGATTTTTTTAATTGACATTTTTAGAGATGATTGTAGATTCATAAGCAGTTGTAAGAAATAATAGAGTTCCTTCTACATTTTGCCCAGTTTCCCCCAAAGGGCACATCGTGCAAAGCTGCAGTGTAATGTCACAACCAGGACCTCGACACTGATGCAGTCCACCTAGCTCATTCAGATTTCCCCAGTTTTACGTGTCTTTATTTGTAAGTGTGTATATTAAGACCTATGAATTTTTATCACCTGTATAGGTTTGTGTATCTGCCACCACAATCAAGACACTGACCAACATCACAAGGATCTGTGGTGTTGCCTTTTTATGACCACACCCAGCAGCCTCCTGCCCCTCCACTCTCCCCTGTCCCTAAACCCTGGCAATTACCGATCTCTCCTCCATTTCTAAAATCTCGTCACTTAAAAATTTGTCATATAAATGGAATGATACAGCATACAACCTTTAGAGATTGGCTTTTCTCGTTCAGCACAATTTCCTAAAAATTCATCCAGGCTTGTATGTATCATTCCTTTCCATTATTGAGTAGTAGTCTATGGTATGTATGTACCAATTTGTTTAACCATTCACCTACTAAAAGATATCTGGGCTGATTCCAGTTTGGTGCTCTTACAAATAAAGCTGCTATGACTATTTGAGTACAGGTTTTGGGTGAACATAAATTTCTGTTTGGGGGATAAATGCCCAGGAGTGCAATTGCTGAGTCATATAGTAGTTGGATGTTTAGTTTTTTAAACAACTGCTGAACTGTTTTCCAGAGTAGCTGTACCATTTCACATTCCCACCAGCAATGCATAAGGGATTCAGTATCTCTGCATCCTCACCAGCATTTGGTGTTATCTCTGTTTTTTACTTTAGCCATTCTGATTGATGTGTTGTGATATCTCATTCTGGTTTTCATTTGCATTTCTCTAATATTCAATGATGGTGAACATCTTTTCATGCGTTATTTGCCATTTGTATATCCTCTTTGGTGAATTGGACCAGGGGAAGCAGTGGCCATGCTGAGGAGCGGTCCAACCCTGGGTATATATTGAAGGAAGTATCAACAGGATTTCCTGGCACTTTGGATGTAGGGTATGAAAAAAAGAATCAGGAGGATTCCAAGGTGTTTGGATGGATCTAGCGGCCATGACTGAGCTGGGGGAGGCTATAGGTGGATTGGGTTTGGGGAATGATTCAGAGCTCAGTCATGTGTTTGAGATGCGCATTAGACATTTGATTACTGAGTCCAGCATTCAGGAGCGAGCTTGAGCTTGAGAGAGAGCTTGAGCTTGAGAGAGAAATTTCAGTTTCCTGGTAGTATTTAGAGTCGAGAGCTTGGGTTGCTGATGAGGGAGTAAGTATGGGGGCCTGATGTAAAACTTGAACCACTGCCCCCTAGATGGCAGGATATCCTGGAAGATGCTTCAGCCCCTTCCTCATTCAGTGGCCACAGAGGCTTCTGTTTGGGGGACGAGTGCGAGGATGAGACGTCCTAGAAGTGAGGTGTTGCTTTAATTTGTATCTGCCCTTTCAGGGTATTGGCAGTTTAACAGTTTGCGAGGGGTGGCTCCTGGCATCTTCCCTCCATTATGGGCCATGAAGTAGTATCTTGGGGGCAGGTAAGCCTCATTTTCCCCCATTAACTTCTTTCTCATTCTTTCAAGGAGCCCGCGAAGCAACACTTCTTCTCCAAGCATGACAACCGCACTTCCTTCGACAAAGTGAGTGCTGGGGAGAGGAGAGTGGGCAGGCCCCCAGACTAGGTTGATACTGAGGTGGGATGGAGGGGATGAGACATTGTGGGGAGGGAGAGCTCCATATACAGACAGAGGAGTGTGTTTTCCTGACAACCTCTCTCCAATGGGAAATAGCCCATTCCCCAAACGGAGGTACCTCTGCTTTAGTTTCCTCCGCCAGCTTGCCTGACAACGTGCAAATCCCCTGGGAGCCACTAACTTTCCAGGGGCTTCACCCTGGAATAGAAAGCATGGCTGCAGAGGCAGGCTGAAAAGGTTGGGGTACAGGCCAGGGAGGCCAGGCACAAGCCAGGCATCACCAAGCAGGCTTGGGTTTAGGAGGCGCCTAAGGCCATGCGTGGTGCTGAGACTGTGGGCCAAGGGCCCGTACCGTTGAGGAGGGCCCCTACTGCCTGCTGCAGGGGATCGGAAGGCGGAAAGACATGGAGCACCTGTGGCAGCGACACACCTTCCTGCGCTGGGCACCCTGTGAGCTGGAGTTCCGCCAGCAGCGGCCTCTTGAATCTTCCTACCAGGCCAATTTCCGGTCAGGACCAGAACTCGATGACCTCCCTCAGCGCCTTGTCCACTTTGTGCAGATCCAGCCTCCTCAAGCCAGCACCACCTACCAGCAGAACTACTGCCAGCCATCCCGGGGTGGCCATTGCGGCAGCACTAACGTGAGACCCCAGTCCCCCCTCACCAGCACACTGCCTAACCTCCCAGGGATCCCCAAACCCAAGCTGCTGCAGCATTATCTCCACGCTGGGGTCTCCGAGTGTCTAAACTGGTCCAGAGCATTAAACAAGAATGACTGACACGGTGGCCTGCCCGTGCTTGCAGCCTAAAAGGTCCCAGAGGCCGGAGAGCAGTAAGGCACTGCCAGGCCCTATGCCTGGCTCCTATGGTGCTTGCACCCATAGTGCCTGGGTGTTGGGTGGGGGAGGTGCTGCCCTGGGAGCCCTTCCACTGACTGAGAAGGGGTAAGGCCTATAGGAGGCTAAGGGTCTAGGAAGGTTACCGTGGCCACAGTGGATGGGTTCCAGGACCCCAGATCCATGCCTGCAGCAAACCCAGCTGTGAGCCCTTTGCACTAAGTGTGGCTGCAAGGAAAACAGAGTCAACGGCCCCTACAGGTAGGTAGGCAGCAAAGACTGGAGGAGGAGGCCGAGGGCTGGCAGCTTTGCTTTCTCTGGGAGGCCACCACCTCTAGGGGCCTGGGACTGCCACACAGTCCTACCTAAGAGACAGCTTCCCCACAGTTGCAGCAGAGGGAGACTGCCTGGCCACAGCCCCCTGCCAGACAGCCTCTCCATATGGAGAGAGCAGAAGCTTGAGGAAATGCTGTGTGACACACACCTCAAGGACATCCTGGCCCTGTGGTGTTTTGTTGTAGTTTTCTGAGCTCTTCTCTGGTCATCCTGTGGGTGCCCTCTCTAACACCCAGGACAGTGGGGGACAGTGGGCACCCTATATCACCAAAACAGAAGCTGAGGCTTAGGAGGGGCAGAACACTTCGGTGACAGAGGCAAGATCCAAAAGGCTCCTTTGGACCCTCCTCATTCCTTGGAGAACTGAGGCCCCCAAAGGAGGGCCAGGGGCTATAGGGGTGACCCAGGAGTCCACGCCAGGGACCAAACATCAAATTTTAGCAGCACTTTTACTCCCACATCTGAACTCCCTGGGTCCTCACAACAGCCCTGTGAGGTAGGTAGGGCAGGAAAGTTTCAGAGATCCCCATTTAAAGATGAGGATGCTGAGGCACAGAGAGGTGAAATGACTGGCCTAACGTCACTCACATAGCCAGCGGTGTAAAGGGCCAAAAGCCAACATCCCTTCGGCCCTCCGAGATTCCCTCTTCCACTCTTCCATTCCTTCTGTGTCCTCCACCCTCCCTGAACTCTCCTGGGCTCACAGGGGCCTTCGAGGCAGGCTGGCAGCTAGAATTTTTCAGGAATAGTCATTGGGGTGGGCCTGGTCAACTCCGGGTAGGCACTGACCCTGAGGGGCATGAGGCCAGCTCTCCCCTCCCCCCACTTCCCTTTCAGACAGAGGGCCCAGCAGGTTCCAGAGCAAGGGTAGAGCCAGGCATGGTCTATGAATGAATGGGGGTAAAGGTGGTGGAAGCGTATGCACGTCCTACGCTAAAAACAAAGCCCCCCCCAAGTCCCCGAGGCAGTGTCTCAAGTTCCCACGCCTGTGCCTCCTTCATCTCACAGAGCCACAGTGAGCTTCCTTAGCAGCACAAGGAACCACAGACATCTGCCTCTGGCACCGAGCTGCTCCAGTAGACAAGGTCCCGTCAGGCATTCAGACCCCATCACACAGACGCAGAGCCTCCACAGCTTGGCTGGGACCCTGGGCCACACCCCCGATGACAAACAGCCGGGGCCCAGCCTGCAGACTAGAACAGGAGCAACGGGCTGTTGGCATGGCAGGTAGCACCTCCCAGCGCCGCCGTGCGAGGCTGAAGCCCTCCACAGAGCCCAGCGGGCATGGCTGGTTTCCTGCAAGAAGGAGACAGAGGTTGTCAAGGGCACAGGCTGCAGGGGCTCTAGCTCTTTTGCTTCCTGAGCCCAGAGTATGGCCCGGCAGGCGTCACCCCAGGATGGGCTATCAGTGCCTTACTACTCATTGCCCCCACTCATCATTTGTTCATTTATTCATTCTGATTTCCATTTGTCCATTCATTCAGTGGTCATTTGTCCCGTTTCTGTCTCCTAGTCCCCTGCTGGTATAAAGTCCTGAGTCAGGTGCTGAGGATACCCCAAGAGCTGGGCCATGCAGACCACACCCCACCACAGATTGGGAAAGGGAAGCTCACAAAGCCCCGAACCCTGGAGGGCCCAGAGAAGGGCAGGAGATGGTGCCGCTCCTTCCTGTCTTGGACTCCCCTCCCATCACTAGACCCACAGAGACTCACCGAGGCCCCCGATAGCCACGATGTGGCCCCCAAAGGAGCCAACCACAAAGTCGGCCCTCTTATCCCTCATGCGCAGGCCACGAGGCAGCTTGGTCCAGGACCCTGCAGGAGAGGGGAGGTCAGATCTGGCTCCCCACGCTGCGCCCCTCCATCCCATGGAGAGCGGGAAGATAGCCCAGGCCAGCCACTGCTCACCATGCTCCAGGTCGAACATCTCCACAGTGTTGACAAAGTGTGGGCGGGAGTAGAAATTGTGGGGCCCGGGCTGCTGCAGGCCACCCAGACTAAAGACGCTGCCTTCGGCCATGGCGCAGCCGGCAAAGGCCCGGCGGCTGGGCAGGCTTGGGTGCCGGGTCCAGGTACGGGCCTCCAGATCAAAGGCCTCAAAAGCAGTCACTGGGAGCTTGCCCTGGCGGCCCCCTGCCAATGGAATTGGGGCACCTGGGAGGGAGCCTAGGGGTCCTGGCAGGCTCCTCCTTCACCAAGTTTGTTGAGCCTTCACCACTGCCCACCTCAGCCACCCATACCCAGCTGTGTGCACACCAGAGCCTGAATCTACCACCCCTTGGATCCTCAGGCACTAGGGTTTGGTTTTCCTGCCCCAGCAGGGCCACCAAAGGTCAGAGCCTCTGAGCAAGCCTGGCTCACCCCAACAAAGCTTCTCTTGTCCTGCCATCCCGGCCTAAGCCTGATCCTAGCTAACCACGGGGATAGGTGCTTCTGGACTTCGAGCCCCTTTCCCACATCCCCCAGGCCCTTACCCAGGACATAGATCTTATTCCCATGCAGGAAGGTGGAGGCCCCGTAGCAGGGTGTGGGCATGGAGGGTAGTGAAAGCCAGCAGTCCTGCCGGGGCTCATACACTCGAACCTGGGCCTGGGGCGTCGTGTCTGGGCCCATTCCTCCAAGAGCATACACCATACCATCTGCATAGAAAAGAGTAGTTTAGACTGTACCCTGACCTGGCCAGGGCACCCCACCCTGACAGCTGCCTTGGTCAGGCCTGAGGGTGGCTAGGGACCCATGTGTTTGTGGTACCCATCTCCAGCAGCAGAAATCTTCCTGTCTGCCTGCCTGGAGCGGGGGAGGGGAGAGCTAGGATTCCTGCTCTGGCCAGGGCCCCTCCAAGTGAAGAGCAGGAGGCAGCAGATCTAATTATAATCCGTCTCCGTCTCCCTGGAGACGCTATGGTAACCAAGTCTGGCATCCAAGCAGAACCAGACCTGGTCAGACCTGGAGGCCACAAGGTGGGGGCTGCCCTGGAAGAAGAAGGGTGGAGAATGGTTTAAGTCAGGGTGGAGGGCACATGGTGATCTGCTCAGCACGAAGCTCAGATCGGGAGGGCCTCTAGGAATCAGCTGGAGTTGGGATGCAGGCCACAAACCTTCTGCCCAAGAGCCAGGCCAGCACCTCTGTACCCCACCTTTTCACTAGAGTAGGTTCTTGCCCTCTTATGCCCTCAGGGTCTGCTAGGGGCATGTCTGGGGACCTTGGGGATATAAGACAGTCAGCTGGGGGCTTCCATGGCAACTGTCTCCAAGCCACTTGGCCTTTGTCCATCTCAGGCTCCCTGGTGTGTGTGTGGGGAACAATCTAAGCACTTGCCCGGCTCTGAGCCAAGGCCTTGCTCCCCTCCCCCACCCCCAGACTATTTATAATCATGGGAGTCATTGGGCCACCACTCTTTGTCTCTTAGAGAAGAGGAATGGATGGGGCAGGGAAGTGGCTGGGGCCTCCCATCAAGCTGGAGGCCAGCCTGGGCTCTGCCTCCCTCCTCACAGTTGGAAAAGGCAGTTAAGGCTGCTGCTGGCCCAGCTCAGAGCTACATCGAGGAGGGTACAGGAGGGTTAGGAGGCAAAGTCAAGGCACCCAGGAAAAATTTATAGCTCTTATCCAATCTCTGAGGGTAAGGGGCCAAGTCAGAAAAGAAAGGAGGGTACTGAGGCACCTGAGGGACCTTCCTTGGGATGCCACTCACCTCTCTCCACAGTCGCAATGCCCATGGCTGCCTGAGGGAGGGTGGCTCGACGCTCCCAGCGGCCCTCGTCGGCCAGGAAGGCCTCCACAGCAGCAACTGGGCTTTGGCTCTCATCCACACCGCCCACCACGAGCACCTGCTTGCCCAGCACCACAGCAGCTGCACCAGCCCGGGAAGTGGGCAGGGGCGCCAGTGCCAGCCATGTATGTGAGGCCATGTCCAGTGTCTCAGCAGTGTCCAGGGGCAGTCCAGCCTGGCCACAGCCCCCCAACACTAGCAGGTGCCCATCCTGGTATGCCACTGTGCTATACACCCGGCAGGTGGGCATGGGTGGGAACACCTGCCAAGCAAAGGCCCGGCTACCTCCTGTAGCCATGGCGTTCACCTCCAGTGGCAGGCCATGCTAGCTGCTCAGACTGCAGGTGCCACTGATGAAAGCCTCATCTTGGCTCTACAAGGGCTACATGGGGGTGTCAGACCAGTCCAGAAAACTCTCTACCTGGAGAGGAGAGGTGAAACAAAGGGTCAGGGCACTGACCAGCCCTCAGAGTACAGATGAGCAGCATGTAGCTGGGGGCAGAGTTAGACCAAAATCACTGGTGGGAAAAACAGGAGGACCCACCCCGGCTGGCTAGCACACCACCATGGAGGCCCGCCAGGAGTGGGCAGGAGGGCAGACTCCCAGATACCCAGGCAATCCCTCCTCCATTCCTATGGGGCATATAGGATTCTCCTCCCATCCCCTGCTCTCACCTAAGAGCTTCCCGTCCTATCTAGATCTAGGTAAGGTGATGAGGATGGGACTCTCCACTCCAGCCCCCTTTCTTTCCCCTCACAGTCCTCACCCTGGTGCTCTGCGTGAGTGGGGTCCTACTGTACCCTCCCCCTTGTTGGCTTCCAGTGTGCCTTGGGCAGCACCAGAGTCTCCCACCTGCTGCCAGGGATCAAACTCCAGGGCATCCTTACAAACCCTTTGGGAGCCACAGAGTTCATCCATTCCCATCAGCAAAAGGCCAAGATCAAGGCTTTTGGCACTGGAAAGGGAAAGGCTGGACGCCAGGGTCCCACATTCCCCTTTGAGGTCTACCCTCAGGGGTTCGCCCATGCCAGGTCTCCAGAGGCCAGCCTTCTTGGTGCCCAGAATGGGGGAGGGGGATGATTTTGTGATCCTATGAGCCCAGGGTCCCAGGGTCCAAGGAGTTTCCAGTAGGAATGCGCAGCTGGACTTCTAGGTCCCCTCACAGCAAATCCAAGTTCCCCAGTCTACCCCTTCCCGCGGGGCCCACACTCCTGGGACCCCAGGCACGAGGGCCCCCAACCCCAAACTTCTATCTCTAGGGAGGAGCAGGGGATGGGGGGAGGGCGTCGGGGGGCGGGTCCGGACAAGCGCGCTTGGGGTTCTACACCCCGCGCCCCAAACTTCCCCTGAGCGCGGCTCCGCGGGACTC